GAAGGTGGAGTTCCAGGTGATTTTTTCTCCGTTCTCTGGCGCGGCTAAAGTGAAAGAAACCAGTTGTGATCATGTGATCTTGATGCTGCAAGAGGGTGTCTCTCAAAATCCGTGGAAACCCCTTAGACTGCCAGGAGGACGTTGCTCCATCGCTTGATTTCGAAACACACAATGGCGCCAGTGAGGTTTCTGGTGAGTGAAGCGAGGGTCCCTTCTTCTGTATCCATGAGCCACCACAAAGGTGTGAAGCTACTTCCAAGAACTGACCCCCTTGTCAATCTCCAAGCCTTTGAAGGGTGGTATGGTCAGAAGTGCTGTGCTTGAATGGAGTCCAGGCTTCAGGCCCAATCAACCGGCCACATCTACTCCGAGCTTGATTGCAAGAATGTCACGAGAATGCCTATTAATCAGCTTGAAACATGGCTGATTTAAGTGGCCAAGTCCTCCGTGTGGTTTTCCACATGAAGCTGATTCAACCCCTTGCTGGTCCTGTTCAACAATAAGCATAATATAGCATAATAGTTACTTAATATTACTTACACATATGACTCTCATGACTCACACGACTCATACGACTCACTAACGTGGGTCGACGTACACACTTCGCATCGCTGGAGCCGAATAGCCGAAGCCCGGTTCACCGTCCGGAGGAAAGCCCGCGCGCCACATGTCCGGAGTTCATCGTCGAACTGAGCACAACGGACCGACCGGAGCATCAAGTCCCAGGGTCCCAGCAGCTGGATCCATCGAAGTGGTTTGATCGACAGTCAACGATTCCGTGGTCTGGTTGAAGAAGTGCATGCTGCCAACCAGAATTCTCTGTGAGCCAGCTGAAGATCTATCCGGGTGAAGATCCATCCGTTGGAATCTGATACAAAAACCGACCATTGCGAAACAAACTCTCAGAAAAAAAAGACTTTCCTATCTTCGCAATCACCCAGGAACCGGCTGGTTGGTAGACCCTGACCGTCCTAGGACCCTCCTTGACCATCCCAGTCGCTCAGCCGCTCCGCTCACAGGAGGCATTTTTCTCAACCTCCGCCTCCGCCTCGTGGCCTCCGGTGATGGGCCACAGGAGCCAAATCCATGAAACCCGGATCCTCGGTTTCATCTTTCCCGGTTCAAGAGCTATAATGCCCTATAATTATAATGCCCTAGGACCAACATTCATTCAATAGCCTGAATCAATAGCGAATAACAATGATTACTTTACTGATTTTGGAACAGTCTAGACTACAAAAACCAAATCAACTTAAAAGAAGAACGGCTTTCAAGGCTATAGAGGGATTAAAGTTAGATTCATGCAGGCTGTTGATATCTGTCGATCACTCAAGCTCCCCAGGCCTGGAGAGATAAAACCATGTAGAACCAGTCTGGTGGGGGAGGGCTGTTATTGATCAACACTATGCAAATCTTTGCGGTAAGACTTCACACAGTCAGTAAAACTATATTATGCAACAGACTATGCAGCAGTGGTCGCAGGTCGCACCTTTTTGTTTCGGTGAAACCGCCGAATGTCTTTGGTGGCGGCTGAAATGGCCCAAGATCTTTCTTGGGCTCCGTAGATGTATCAAACACAAAAGACCCCCCGGAACTGTGATGAGGATGTGGTAGATCCCTTGTAGTTGAGATCTGGATGTCTAGGTCTAGAGACATAGGTCTATACTAGTGTTGCCAACCTTGACCCCTGAAACCACCCCAATACCAAGCAAATATAATATGGTATGCATTTGGAGCGTTTGGGTCTGACAGTCCTTGTCTGGCATTGGATTCTGCTTCGATCTAGGTTCCACAAGTGCGCCACTGTTTTTCTGCATGGGGTACAGGTAGGATCCGGTAGGCAGCCTAACCAGCTGAGCGAAACGCAATGATCCAAACATGTTGAGCACCAAACAACCTCTTGGGATCTCTTGAGTATATATTCCCAAGTGGCGCATTTGTCGTTTCAAAGGTTTCTCCAAACGTTGCCTTAGAACATTCGTCCACTATTCAATGTTGGTCGCCTGGCATACGTCAGTACGCTTAGGTCGGAATGACCGACAGCCTCGGGTTGCAGTCATGCTCCGACGCAAAGATTGCGGTGAAGTGAGGAAGCCTTTTGGATTCGCAGGGGAGCTTCTTCGCCATCCGGGGGTCTTTCTTCAGCGGATGATTCCGCCACTCTTCCGGGCCGCGAATTTCTGGGCAGCGAAGCTGGGTGGAAAAAGTGGTGAGTTTGCGCTGACACCGTCAGCTCCAGGATGTAGCAAGTGAAAATGCATAAATGCCTACAGAGGATGGCCCTCGATTCATGACAAGCCTATTCCGATGTTCCTTTTTGGGGGGAGGGCGTTATCCAAATGAAATCACGACCAACTCAGTGTAGCAGTGGAGCAGCAGTGGAGCAGCATGTGCTTTTGAGCGCTCAGTCCGCTGCGCCACGGGCGCATTGCAAAACTGACCCTCTCAAACGACCGAAACAGACTGGTAGACCAGCAGGGACCACATGAGCAAAAGATTCTGAAGCACATATAAATTTCCTGAGAAGCTTTGATGCGGGTCGTAAATGAACAACGAAGACTCAAACGCCCTCCTTGTTGCGTCTCATAGTGCCCACTTCCATACACTCCCAGCAGAAAAGTCTGCACCCCATACTCTCCAACATGTCCACGTGCACAGATTTCCTCCCAGCATCTTCATGCAACGCCTTTCACACTACTGTGCTGGTGCCGGCGCCGAACCTCCGGAATGCTTGAAAGAGTCCAATTTGGCCCAATTTGGCTTGCTTGGAAGGTCAAGCGGTGCCCACCTGGTGCCCACATGACCAAGCGGTTCGATCACCCAGAAAACGAGCCCGGAACGGCCCCACCGCATCACCCCCCAGAGTTCCTTAAATGGATTTCAATGTTAGGATGTCTCCTGGATCGCTCCAAAAAGCGTTGTGCAACTGTACTGTGCAGCATGTCTGACAGCATAATACATTCCTGACGTTCGCATGTCTCTCAACAGAGACAAGCATGTCTACGGACGTTGGACGTCGTGGATCGTTTTCCAGGGAAGACTCAACGTCAACACCTTTTGGAGGGTGTTTCACCCGAAAAAATGTAGAAAGTAAATGTTGAAAACCACGATAGACATGATCTCACATGCATGGGATGCTCCTGGACAAAGCCTAATTAATCAGTAATTAATGCAAGAAACACACTCTACAGCTTCAAATGCCCATTTCCGAAGCTTCCGACATTGCAATAAGTAAGGCCCCATGCAAGACACGAGCCAGGACCAAATAGAGATCATTGGCACTTCAAGTTCTTGGAAAATATACCCTTTTGGGGGGGCTGCACTCTTTGGGAAGATCTCTCGCAGGCCCGAGAACTCCAAACCGGCATCCTCTTCCAGCATGTTCCAAACCGATCACTAGAGCGACAATGGCTGAAGTACCGCGGGTCACTTTCTCTGGATTGGGGCTTCTCCCTCGCAAGCAACACCTGGTTGCCGTGGTCGCATGGTTCGACCGAATGGAGTTGGCCTAAGGGGTCTGTTTCCCAACTAGGCCAAGTGACCCCCACCCTCGCAACATCGGCTGGAAGCTGGGAAAACACATGTTGGCCACCTCTTCTATCGACTGATCGATGGCAATGCGGTCAGTAACGCATGATTGGCGACTCCTAGCGGCATTCATCTTAGTTGAACAAGGAGTATTCTTCTTGGCGGCACCGAGCAAACCCTCCGATTCCTTCGGAATGGGAGCGGAAACATGGAGATATCCATGGGACGCACATGGACGACGCCACTGTCGTGGGCCAGTCGGTGGTGGCAGACCTCCAAGAAATCCAACAAACATGCTACATGTATAGATGATTATACCATATTATACCTAAGAATCCTTGGGCTCTCCATGGCTCCTAAGAACCCTATGTGTTTGAGGGCTCGGATTCTTAAGCTTAGGATGTAAATCTTGGGATTTCTTTTGCTTGGTGAATGGAGGCCATATTTGTCGTCCACAACCACAACATCGAACCTGAGGTATTCGGTATGCGGCAGCCGTTCTTGTCTGCCACCTTGGACCGTTTCCCATGACAGCTTCAACCTACTGGAAACCGCTGCAGACTGCACTGCACAACAGCAATTCCCCCGGTGCTCACGGGAGTATGCTGTCGGCGGCCTGTGGCCGAATCGCACTCGTCAGTTCAAGGTGATGGGCTTATGAATCGGTGTGTTTGCTTTAAATCTCATGGGCTTGATTTTGAGGCGGTCTAATTAGTTGCTTGGGAATCTCTCCCATTTCCTCCTGTTTGCCCAATTTCCGGGGGGTTCAACATTAGAAGGACTTTGTGCTGGGATTTGGCACCTGCTTGGAGTTTTGGGCACGTGTGCGCTGTCTCCAAGCCCATTCCCTCTAGTAAGCTTGGCCAACCAAACAAAGCCCGGCCTTCCTCGAAGCCCAAAGTCGCGCAGCAAGAAATCTCTATATTATATATATATATATATCTATTTTTGACATCATAACTTGGTGCTAAGATTGCAACACATCAAAACTGCGTATACAGCAAGCTAGTTCTATTTCGGTCTCTTGATGTCTCTCGATGTCTCTCGAGCCCGAGGTCTGAAGGATCTTGACATGATTTTCAGATCCCCCACGGAGAGCTCATTAGCTTGCAAAGCCGGGGGTCTGAAGGATCTTCTGATTCACCCTTCCTCCACGGCGAACAACGGCTCGTCAATGTGAACCGACTCACTCCACACATCGAGCCGATCTTCGAGCTGAACTGAGTCCCAGTGTCTTCAGAAGAGTTTGACCAAGAATTGGCCCTTCACAAAGGTCGGATGTTTGTTTCAATAGATGGCGAATCAGGTCCAAACTTGCCACTGGAAACTTCAGAGCTTTTAGACTTCAACCTCCTTCAGAAGAAGTGAATCTCTCCAATTGGGATGTGGTCTGTCACCTGCGGATGTTTCTCCGGCAGAGCATCCTCCCAGGTCCAGTCCACGAGACAGCAAGGGCACCTGCGGTATGAATTTCAAATGCTCACCTTGGACGTTGCGGTCGCCGGGTACCCCGATTCAGCTGATTCTTTCGAGCCAGAACTGGGTAGGACCCATGTATTACCCTGCAGAAGAGCCAGTGACTTCGCAACCACCTGTGGAGGTTTCAGCAAAGGCCAATCCTTCCAAGAACCAAGGCGAAGCCTACGCTTGGAGGAAAGTGGCCTCTTTGGCTGAGCTGAAGGATATAGGAAAGAATCCACAAACAGGTTCGGAACTGTTTCATTGTACACGTGCTTATCCTTTGTCCTGACATGGTGAGGTTGCTGCCAATTTAGAAAACAGTCACTGGCATCATTTTCTGTGACCTGTGGCTCTGTCTCCGGGTCCAAAATCCAGCAAACATCACCAAACACGGAGCACTGACTGACCTGCTATGACCTAGAGAGAAAACTCTCGCATGTCTCATGGAGGCCGATCTCACGCCAAGAATTGGGGTTCGGACCTGCCAGGTAGAGGACCTTTGCATCTACACTCCATTTTAACTCCCCACCTGAAAAGAATGGCCATCCCATGGCCTTCTACTCAGTCCTACCTCTCTTTCTAATTGCACAACTTCGAGAAGTGAGGCTTTTCCAGAAAAAAACAAGAAAACCTTCATGTCGGGTTGCCACTCGGGTTGCCTATTCTATTCTCCTGGGGGTCATCCTCCAACCCCTTGTGGAACCGCCGACTTCTTGAGACTTCCAGGTCGCATAGACCACCTCTTCGTCGACTCCGTCCTGCGCCGCCCGCCGAAACGGGCCGTTCGGGGGCCGTTGTGTTCAACCCGATCGATTTGTGTTCGATGCTGAGATGCCAATTAAGGCCGCTTCTGTCCAAGAAAGCTTCTTGACGAAGTAGGATGATGAGAGGAAAGGCCCACCTATCTCAAACTGACCATCATCTGACCTAGGTCTGTCATCAAACCCAACTCAAGACCATAGATACGAGTACATGTAGTTGTATCATTCTGGAACGTTTGGATCTTAGGATATCTTAGGCTTTGACATGTTAGGCACTGTCCGGTTGTGTGAAGTCACTGTGGCGCTTCCAGAGCAGCCCCAGGTCCCCCAAAGATCCGGTGAATCAAGTCTAAGCGGACTCAGCGGACCTATGGTCTGCCCGTGCGGAGCTCGTCTTGGTCCGAAACGCCCAATAAGCCAAACATGAAGCTCAACGGCCCCCCCCGCAAACGAACATGGAACCTGAGAATTGACCGGTGGTTTCGACCCATTTCCCTGGGGTCAAATGTGGACCTCTGCCACGGGGGCAGTGCACACTTCGAGAGCCAAAACGCGCACCGAAACCACTCCCGAACGGCTCCTCCGCGGTGGGCTCCCGGGAGAGGGTCCAAATGCCACGCCAGTTCGGTGCTGGAGGGTGGCGCCTTGGCCGGTCAAGAGAGGGATCAGGCGGGTAGTATGGGCAGCATGGTAAGCTTCTAAGTGGTAGAGCAGTGGGATCTGAGATGTGAGAAAACCAGCTGAACATGTTGTATTTGTTTGGGGGTTTGGAGAAGGTGTGTTTACACATCTTAGATGTCCCTCCTTCCTTCCTTCCTTGCTTCCTTTGCCGCCAAAGAGCTGGTAGTAGCAGGCCCTCTTCCTCATCACCACCGACGCCTTGTCGAACAAACCAAAATACTGGCCCGTCTGCAGGCTCACCTGGTGCTACCAACGCTGCTCGACGAGTCTCTGCCCGACTCAGAGAAAACCAGAAGGGACTGAATTTCACCAAACTGAAAGGCAAATTTTCCAGTTAAAGCAACAACTTGACCCAACCTTACCAGAAAGCCAACAAAATCCACCTAGCAGGTAAAGTTCATAAACAAAAAATAAGTTCCACATAGTTCCACCATCACAAGCACCTGTTGTAACGTCATGAACTGACATGTTCTGATCCATACAACAGACAAAAAACTCTGCACCTGGGAAAGCTTGGGGGTGTCACATGGACAAAAGGGGTATGCCTGAATATGTTCCGATGGATCCACCCACACAGAAAACACACCCGGGACCATGCCACCGTCTGTGGCGGACGAAAAAGGACGCTGCCGGAGCGAACAGGGCGGCGAAGGAGCCTCACCTTGGGGAACACTCTATGTATATATCCCTATGGATCGGGTCGTGTCTTCTCAGGTTCGGTACGACTGGACCCTCCAAACCTACATGACAGTGTCTCCAATCACTGTAGTTGAGAAGGTACATGGATCCCTATATATACATATCTTTTTTTCGGTCGTCCAGCGAGTTCAATGCAGACCCACATGTATTACATCTATATATAGATGGTTTGTGTGTCTAACAGGCTTCCAACGGGAGCCTGTTGGATGTGCCTGGTATATACTAATCTGATGGTGCCGGAGCCCAGCTCGAGGGCGCCCTGGAGGGCCATCCCAGGGTCGCGACCCGCCTCTCTCCAAATCGCCGCAGCTTTGTCGAACTTCCGATCTACATAGTATCTGAGCGCTTGCCTGGGACCACTGAAAGGCGATCAGTGGTGCATTGCTGTGCGATCCCCAACTGGGCGCGACACCTGAACACCCCATTGAAAACCAACTCGCCCCAAATCACCTTGCGGATCCCTTCGGACGGTAGGAGGCCCAGACTGGCCCCCACACGGAAGTGACCTACCCTGGCCCGTAGGGAAGCTGATCACTTCGGAAGTGGTAGGTCGCTAAGGCTGCGGTGATTTTCAGAGCTCTGAAAGTTCCTGGGATGGTCATTCATCCTACCCTTACCAAGTTGCACTAAGGGATGGAATTCAATGATGACCCATGACCATCATCACTATCATTATCCTATTAGTATACATGCTTTGTCTAACTTTAAGGCAGTCACCCCAACTGTCACCATGGCAGTTGTAAGATGCCGGCACTCAAACCGGTTTGGCTAAGGGGCTCGTACTTCTTCGCCAAGGACTCGCGAAGGTTGTTCCTGAAAGCGTGGCGCGGCGTACACCGTCACACCAGGTCAAACCCTCACACCGCTTGTGCCGATTTGGAGGTGGAGCTGGTGGAGCTTGTTGGAGGTACGCTTTGTGGCGATTTTCCGCGGGCGGAATCATCGAGGAATCTGAGAGGAGTCGTCTAAGGTGAGGGGACTATATCGATTCTGCGAATTCCGTGCTTCTCTGGTTCCGGGATGTCCGGGAAACATTAGCAAATACCGGGTTGTTGTTTTCCGGTTTGTTTCTCTGGTGAAGGGCACAATGAACAAATCGAGAGACAAAGTCGATGCCGATCACGAAAGAAAACTCTGGTGGCCAAATCTGGGTGCCATCCAACCATTCCAATCCTTCCTTATCCAAGGCAGCAACGGAACAAAGGGAAAAACACAACAAACTCTCCACGATCCACCGAGTTCGTCGCCAGAAACGGAGGATTCCTAACGCAGCCAAGGTTGCTTGAAGCTTTGTCGACCATTTAGGAAGCAAACCACCTCAGAAGAGGGTGGAGTCCAGCCTTTGGATGGCGGCTTGGTTTGAGGACTACAGAACTGCCATCGTGAGGTCCCAAGGGTACTGTATATACGCTTTAGATGCAAGAAGCCAGCTTTTTCGATGTTCTGATCTGTGAGATGTGTCCGATTCTCACAACATTGAGAAACCATTCACATGGGGGGTTAATCAAGAGTCTACGATACACTCAAGGTGCAATATCAACTGCTCGTCCGTAGATCTTCCAGTGCTAGGGCTACGCTCGTCGAAGGTTGCACAAGATGTGGACCCGGCACGCCGTACAGCGTGTACAACCCCAACAGCGTCAACACAATATATTTACACCCGGGAGAAATCAACATGGATCCTGAAATGTACCTTTGGACCTGTGGAAGACTCTTGTCCTCAAACCAGTGGTGTTCAGGTTCCATGTGGGTCTCTTCCAGAGTGTGTTGATGGTTCTTCTCACCTTGAACCAAAACGAGGAGATTTACAGCTGACAGGGCAGCTGGTCAAGTCGCCGCCCCACAAAAGGCACCACCGTGCCGCAAGCAGGATGTCCGGGTTGCTCGATCATGACCAAAAACCGGAGGAGACCTTCGGAAGATCTTGTTAGACCGTCTTTCAATTTCTATCGATCTTCTCCTATAGGACACCTGCTTCATCTCCAAGGTGCTTCATAGACCTGCTCTTCCAAGTCTTCGCCCTCGCCGTACCTTCTTGGCTCGCTCTGCTCGGAAAACCACGGTGCGAAAGACCAGATCTGGAGGTCTGGGGTCTGGGGGTCTATCACCCATCGGCCCCTTAGAGGCCGACCTCAGACTTCGACCCCTTTATTGATGTGACAGAGTTAGTCGACCGATCTGATCGACTGCTAAGAGAGTGATAGCGGACAGACCCAAAAGGATATCCAGACTCACTCCCTCAGTCATAGCCCCGCCATATGAAAAGGTGTTTGCCATCAGTGGGGGTCTATTACTCAAGCTAAGAGTCTACATATGAATACGATAACAGTTTGGGATAGGTGCCTGGAGGCTTCAACTATACCCTGCAAGTCCGAAGTGTTAAACGAGTACATTTCGAAGAACAAGTTTACGAGTACCTTTTGTCTGTTTGTGGGAAGCCAGGCCCTTTTATTCAAGCGAGTTCAACATCACCACTAACGGCACATAGAACCTGCAAAAATGCACCCAATCTTTTAATTCATGCAAACAAAACAACCGTCAAAAAACGTCAAAAGTTGCAAAAAATACACATACTGGTTCCTTATATATTGCAAACATATTGCAACCATTAAGGGGACTAAGGACCTGCTACGCTCCAGTTACGCTCCTGTTACGGTTTTGGAAGATCATTTGCAGTTTTAGAAGTCTCCTGGAGGAGTTTGTTACGCTCCTGTTATGCTAAATAGTTGGCCAACAATTCAGACCTCTTTGCTCTTAATGTCGAATAATTTCACTCATAACCACCAATAAAAGCTGGAATATCACTCAACATCGCCTTTGATTCCCTTCCAAACCACCTGAAGAGATCATGAACACTATTTTTGGCTTTAACGGAACTTTAGTGGGACCAAGTAAAACTAGGTTCCAATAAAGTAAATGGTGGTCATTGTCTCCAATTCTACATGAACAAGTTTAACGAGGTCATTGACTTGGAGGGATAGCTTTTGGGGATGTAGTTGGATCATGTGGATCTGGTTGGTATTGTTTGGTTGGTAAACACTGCTCCATTCTGATGTAGCTTTCTGAAGGGGTGAGTATGCAGTTGAATGACACGGGTGGAATCGTCGTTTGGTGTTGTGGCAGGGTGGGGGTCATGCGCGTGACGGGTCAAGCCGGCACACCCTCGACAAGAACACCAGTCCAAGTAGCGAGGGGCTGAAACCAGAACCAGAAAGCAGTGGCATCTGTAGCAATCATGACACGAGGCTTGAGTATTTCGTTTAAAATCAATTGGATTGTAAGACATTGTCAGGCATCTTCTTCATTCAATAAGGTCGTTCTAGTACATCGTCCTTCGCCCAGGTGCATTTCTGCATAGTCGATGGGTCTCACCACGAACCTCAGCGGAGTATATGGCGGACGTTCCAAAGCCACCACACTCTTCGTCCCCTCCAACCTGAATCCAACGACGCCAGGTTAGATCTATGCCAAGCAGGCCACTGATGGCCCCATCCACCATGGCCCACAAAAGAAAGGACCCTACTAGTCGGACAAACACCCCACCACCCACCACCCACCTGGAGATGGGCGATACTCCAAAGGGCTTTTGGGTGTTGCAAAAAACACATGGAAGGCCCATAGTCTTATGCAACATAGTCTTCCACATTTCTCAGGTTCCATGGTTATAGTTTGCGGGAGGGGTGCCAGTTCGGCGGTTTGATGGCTGTTTGATGGATGTCTTATGGTACTTGCCTGCATGATATGTTACTGTGGTGGTAAGCTTGTTCAAAACCATTCAAAAACCCAAAGCATGCCCTTGCCGTTGCTCTTCCAAAGAAACAGGCGCCCAAAAGATCGCAAGGTAACTCAAGCCTGCTGAGCTGCTAACCTGAAGGACTTCATCTTTAAGTGTCCCAACAGTTGAAATCACTGCGCATCCAAGTGGATGGCCCCCACAAACTCCACACAACATGCAGCGAACAGCTCTGAGCCCCCGCCATAGGCCAACCCCCCCAGAGCCAATGAACAGCATGGACTTCAAAAATTGTCAACCAACTTTGGCTGGAGTTTTTGGCATTCGATGGCATTCGCACGCATTCAGAATTCACATATCTCACACATCATCATCTGCTCTACTACCAGCTCTTGTCGCTCTTTTCCATTCCCGCGAACAAAAATCAACCACCCCCGCAGAATGAAGCGCTAAGAAAGCCACTCATCTTGCAGGCGGCGGTAGGTGGCCTCGAATCCAAACAGCACAAAAAACAATCCTTTGCAATTGAAATGGCTGTGGGGCAAAACCTGTTGGTCCGGGTTGACCCTGGTAGGTCAACCTCTCTTGCCAGTCTAATCAGCGGTGAACAGGTCCGTCTGTCAGCGCCATGGTGCGCTGCCTGCGAGGGAAGAAGGTTCCATATCATACCCAGTGGATCCCGGTTACCAGGGATTCTAAGGAACCAGGCATTCTAAGTCTATGGTTTTTGTCTTTGGAACCGCTGGTTGCCAGCTATTCTATAGTGGTTTGCCCGGATCCCTGGGATATGGTTCCAACACACGTTCGTCCCCTGCTGATCATTCCATCATATGCCATCTGATCTGCGGAAGATCTTTTGGACTGTTGTAGCTTTAAAGAAGGTTGTATAGCCTATAGCTAAACCGATCCACATGGGTATAGGCACATCCTGATGTAGAGAGACATCCATATACATATACAATGTGTTTTCTTTGCAGGCGCAAAGCCAGTCTGACCAGTGTAATAGTCAAGCGTTCTCGAGGCTTTTAGTAGGATTTCACCTACAAGTCGGGAGTTCCTTACCTGGTGTTCCAACCTGAGAAGCTGGCGAAGTTCTGCTAGACACTCACGTGCTTGTTGGCCATAGTTTGGCTCCAAACAAGGTTCCAAGATCGTACACCAGTTCATTCTGGGCAGAAAAGAATCCCTATCTACATGGTCTGCCCACTGTACATGCACAGGATGATACAAATTTATCCGCAAGAAAACGCCCTCCGGCCAAGATATCTAAACAGCATCAAGCTCAGGTTGTCCCAAAAGCCCTGCAGTTCGCGTGCCCTCCGGATAGGTCGGATCTTCTCTCCTTCGAACCCTGCCTCAGAGATCAGGTTGCTGGTGCCATAGGTCCTCGGATACGAGGAGGCGTTGCGGTTCTTTAATGCAAACATATTGCCATGTTAAACATGGATGATCATGGATGCCATATGTGCCTACATTGGGGTGGTTTTGGGGGGTCAATGTAGGCATATATGGCATACATGGAGTGTCTGGGTATTGCCATGTCAAACATGGAGTATTGGGACAGAACAATATAGGAACTGACACACCGCTAATCTTCTCGAACATATTCCTCTGTTTTGTTGCTGTAAGATGCTGTAAGCATCTGCAGTTTGTATTCTAGATGACTATATTTCTAGAATCCTTGAAACGAGCGGCAATTCTTTTGACCTTGCTGCTTCCAAAGGCCCATTGGGGGAGGGCAACGAAGCAAGTACTCGGCTTCTCTGTAGGATATCTTTCAACTCACATCACCCATGTCCATCTCTGTGTTCAATGAAGCGGAAACATCCAAACATGGAGCCTTTACTTGGATCTGTGGGTTTCTTTATGCTTCTCAAGGGTCACTTGGCTGCATACTAGATACAACAAGCATGTACTGCAGTCTATGTCCACACGTTTTCAGAAAGGGTTCCTCAGGACCTTGCAGGTGAGTGTGTGGCTCAAATAGGAAAATATCATAATAACATCTCTCAGTAAAAAAACACCTGGAATATGGGAAATAGACCCGGACCCAAACCATCCAAAACCCTCTTCTACCCCAGGGGTTCTCAGGGGGTCTCCCTATTCAAATACGTGCTGCCGAAGGTGCTTGTTGAGCTCTTCCAGCTTCGCGGGAAGCGTGGAGTGCTCACCTCGGGCGCCAAAAACGCCCCTCGGTGCTCGTTGCAGACCTTCTGAAGACCCACGCACCGGACAAAGGTGCCTGGAACCTCAAAGTTCCTCAAACAACGGGTACCAGTCTCCTGTTTTTGATAGGGCCATGTCCCATTTTCTGGAGTACTTTGGAGGGTCCAGGTGGAGTTATAACAGATGGAAGTACTGTACTACACACCTTCGACCTTTCCTGTCATGCCCAGTTCATTCAAGCGAAACAAAAAATACGAGGGCAGGAGAGGGCGGGTTGGAAGAAGGAACTGTAAAAGATCATCTCAGATCATCTCTGAAGTATTGCTTTCCTTCCTGTACTCCCACGCCTTAAGGGTCCCAACTTGGTCATGTCACTCTTTCCTTCTCTCCATCACCTCCTGATAGTGGTCGCACGACGTCTCCTGCGTGATCACCACATGATGAAATCGTGGTGCATCCTCCCAAATCCCGCCATCAGTGCATCACCACCATATTTTGGGCTCCTCGAACCATCACATCACAACCATCACCCCCCCGGCCCTTCCCGCGCCGCAATGATCGAAGCAAGGAGCCGATGACACCGAACTTGAGACGTGAGTGGAAGCCCAAGTTTCCCACCTCAAAGGCGAAAAGTACACTGAAGATCCTGCTCCACCCCCCATTCCAATGAGGGATTCTCCAGCAAGCTGAAGGACCGATGTGGAAGTCCTGTGGTGGGCTCTTTGACTTGAGACCCTTGAAGTCCTCCATGGGAAATCTGCGGCGATGGTTGCTGTTGGGGGTTTGACCAGGTACATCAGCAGCCAAACGCATACCAGGATGTCTTGGCACTGACCAGGTTTGGGCACTGACCAGGTTTGGATCTACGGAGTGCTCTTAGGACGCACGTGTTCGGACTGGGGCTTCCGCCTCAAGAACAAACACAACTACCATCAAAGGGTGGTTTATAGACCCTCCCTGGCCAGTATGGATAATCACCATCCCACAGCCATGGGAACTGGATGCTGCTGGCACATGTCCCGCATGTCCCTATGGTCACCTATGGTCTTGGACTTTCAACATTTTCCGAAGCCCCCTGGCCCCCCTGCCTCCCCCCCCAAAAAAAGGTTGACAAAATCACATCACAAAACCATCTTGCACTCCCAGGTCACAGAAACCCAGCCGGAGTGAATCCCGCAGCGGATGCTCACCTGGGTGGCTTCGCCCGCCGTGCGGAGAAATCGGTTGGGACGCTGGGTGGAGTCACCGTGTCGGATGATGTGTACCGTGCACTCCTTCGGTTCAACGTAATCCAATTGAACTCTGGCATCAACGTTAGATATGATCGAATTCATCTTCAATCTTCATGTAATCTTCCAGGACGTTCTCTGAGAATCCAAAACCAAAAAGAGGTCGACCTTAAATGAACCATGTGAACCTGTGGGCAGTCCTGTCTCGGGCGATCCGCGGGCTCCGGTCCAAACTCACCGAAAGCGATCCGGTCGACTCTGGAGGCGAACGACGCGTCGCCGAGCCACGTGAGGTAAACCTTTCTTCTTCGACCACTGGTTGATCCTCTGAACGCCTGGGAGCATCCCGCGCGTCGCCCCGGTCGGGCGTCCCGGAAACCACGGCACCCCAGGGGGAGCGACCTGTTTGGACCAGCAAAAAGGAACAGAAGAGACTGCAAGGGAACAGAAGAGACTGCAAGGGAGGTCAGCCTACTAGGGTTTAGGGCCGTTTTCGGTCTTGACTCACAGCCATGTGCCAAAATACGCCACACGACACCTAACACATCCTAACACACTTTCCAAGGAGTCAAACTGAACTAGGATTCCTGACCAAAGCCACCTCACGACACAATTGCACCTTGGGCCTTGGGGCCTGCTGACTCCTCGCTGTATCGGCAACAAGTCGATTAATGAAAGTAGCCTAGTCCAGTGATGCATCTGTGACACAAGTGAATGAGTTCATGTTTGACCATCTAGCCATGCCACCAGTTCATCTTTGGCCCTATTGATGAATGCAACATTCACTCTTTGACCACTCATCCCTCCGCCTCGCTGCATCTTCATCATGGCGCGAACGCAGGCTAAAGCCTCGGCGGGCACGGGCGTTCACGGTGTTGGCCGTGCCTCCGTGGTCTCACACCGAGGCATGTGCAAAGCCGCTTCGTTCGGCTTTCAACGGCCAGCGGCTGTCGGAAAAAGCACCGAAAAGAACGTGGTGTTGGAAGAAGACCAAAAAGAGAGTAGTGAGGATTGCCTGGTGGAGGCCCCCCGAAAAAGCAGGGAGGTGCTGGCAATTGTGGAGTAGAGAGGAGTCTCATAAGAATTGCAGGTGCTCCAAGGACCAAGGACCTCTAGGAAGAAGAATCAAGCAGACTGAGACAAAGCTGAAAACAACGCCAAACCAATATTTTCATTTGACCCTATTCTAATGCACACCCCTATCAATCTATATATTATATATCTACTCCACTTGCTGGTAAATACTTGATTGGCTTGCTGCGTTTTCTGTTTCGGGGCCAATGCAATAAAAGTAGCCAAGCATGCCGGTGATGACAGGAACCCATTAAGTACTTGGTGGGACTTGGGTTTGTTCAGTTTGCTGAGGTTATATCAATTGTGAACGCAATCAATGTGTTCTCCGGTTCCTGTAGCAACTCTCTCCTGTTCCTGTAGCGAGCTGCTTGGGAATTGGAATTTCCCATACTTTCAGCAGGCTGGAAAGATGACTAGCCTACAAATTCATGCTGAGTTCAGCTCTCACGTTTCATTAACAGGGCCACAAGTAGCAGCCAACGCGGGACATCGGCTTGATCAAGGACCCAAAAAAACACTGCCATACACATGGCCGTCTCACGCAAAAACGCCGCCCATCTTCGACCCAGGTGGCATGTTCCTTGATCTTCGCGGGCGCACCGAAGACGGCCAGGATGGCATCCCCGATGAACTCGATGACCACGCCGTCGTGGTGTTCGATTCTGACCGCCGGAGCGCGGTGTTATCGCGGTGCCGGGCGGTGCTTGGTTTGCAGGTGGGTAGGTTAGATATATTTTTTCCTTGGCCGGTGGTGTTATGGTGAACAACCTGCCCATGCTGCACTAAACCATCATTTCACTTTATGTTACTGTGATTTTACTATGTGCTTTCTCACTATGCGATTTTATGGTGTGATGTCACTGACAGTACGTATCGCGGTTAATGACCATGTGGTCACATGATGTCTCACTTCTCGATCAAATCCACCTGCTCTTCTTGGTGACAGCGGCTGTCACCGTGGGTTCCCGGCCCAATCGGCGTCCACGGGGTTCCGTGTTGAGGGGTGCTCCGACGGAGTTCGCCAAGCCACATCTTGGACATGTCATTGAAGTATCGGCTGAGCAAAACCAGAGTTTGCTCCGGCACCAGTTGTTCCACAATACCTCAGCGCACTGCAAGGTGCCTTTCTGTGCGCCAGTGCGTGGTGCGTGTGTGGGGCCCAGGGTCAACTCAACTTAGATCTGGAAGATTCTCGGACATCGTGGTCCCAAAAATCCTCAAAAATCCTGGGTGACCCAGGCAATGGGTGAACATGAGAGAACTTGGGATTGGGAGCAGGTCACTGGAGATATCTCATCTCCACCTCAGCTGAACAATTCAAGTCGAAAACAATCCAGCCCAAGCATGTCCACGGTCCACACTTCCGGGAATCGTCATATAGATCGAAGTGGAAAACCTGTTCTACCTCTCGCGGCCACGGTCGGAATCCCCTCCATTGAGGTGGCCTGTAGCGCCAGCATTCTACTGGAGCGCTAAACGAAAACGTCCACTGAACATGCAAGGATGAGAAAACTACCTAAACTCACCAACAGGAAAGGCCCAGGCGCTCATTGCAGCCCCTGTAACTTTTCGGGACACCTTTGTGAGCAAATGAAGTGCGTCGTCGGAGAAAAAGGGTCGACAACCACACAGTGTCCCTGGTGGCATGGATTTGCCCCATGTATGGGCAATGTGAGGTTCGTATTTGCCCGGCGTGATAGCCCTTCCAAGTTGTCGGCGACAGAAGGCAAAGGACGATTTTAACCATTTCGCTAAGGCTTGGAAAGTACAGTGTTCATCAGCCAGTAGTGTACATGGTGTCCCGAAATGCACAAAAAGGACAGCGAGCTCCGTAAAAGAAACTCTCATGTCAGCTTGGCATGACCACTGTAGTGCTTTAATGAAGGTTCCAAAGTTCGCCCAGTCTTCAACAGCAAAAGGCCATTTCTCGGGTGCCGAGGGCCACTCTTGTTCAAATTTCCAAGGAAAGCATGTCGGATCAGCATGCCATTGGAGGTTGGGAAATTGCGCTTCAGGTGTGAAAGTTTCCTCAAGTCTTTCATCATCCGTTTCATGAATGTCTTTGGAGACCTCCTGCCCCAACAGTATGCAAAGGCGTGTCAACCACTCCTGGCGTTGGAGAACAGCACGACAAACCTCTGGATAGAGCTGATGCTGGATTGCAGCATTCGCCAGCGCAGCTCTTTTTGCGGCATGGTCGGCCGTCCTATTATGGTGTATATCTCGAACGGTGGAGCCGTTGGCTCGTGCCATATCATCGTCTATCAGGTGTTCTGGGATATGCTCCAACAGGTGCGCAGGGATCCACTCAACACTAAGCGGTTGTGGAGCAACCTGTTGGCGTTCCAGCACAAGAGCAAACAAAAATTTCCACCAGGGGAGGTGAGGCCATTGGGGTTGCACTTGCTGATTGGTGCACATCCAAGAAGCTTGATCAACCAAAGTTTTGCAGTCACTTCGCACGTGAACAGGACCACTAGCATAAGTGAACGCATGTATTAGGGCCCAAAGTTCGGCAGTGTAACTAGTTAATGACCAATGTGCGACAGGACCATGGGCGATAACCTGATTATCGGCATTGACGACGGCAAAACCAGCGCACGTGAGTGCAAAATGCTCCGGCCACATGACTGATCCATCCGTCCACACGCGAACTGGTTCAGCCAGGGTCTCCCACTTAACTGGCTGCAGACAAGAGGGGTTAGAAACCTCTAGCCTTTTGGCAAGAACAGACCAAGGGTGCTCAACTATACCTAAGAGTTCAAAGTTGCGGCCAAGCTCATGACAAACCGGTGGGGGATTATCATTAAGGATAATGGGGCACTCTCGAACAAGATGAGGGAGCGATTCTTTGGAAGCCATGCGCAAGCGACAATGTGAGGAATCAACTAGCTTGGCTGCCGCAAGGCGGTCATTGGTCAACACGTATCCGACCAGCTGGGCTTGGAAGAATGCTGAGACGGGTGATGGTGTCTCTGCCTCAAACGAAGGTTTACGCAGAAAAAGCGTTGACAAATGAAAATCAAGGAAGCCTCCAGGAGCTATAAAGTCTTTCCTGGATTGTAACGACGCTTGAGCATAGCAGGTATGCCTTGCAAGCTGCTGGAGAATCTTCTTGACTTCACGCACCCCCAACGACATGAAATCCACGAGTTTCTTACCTCGGAAGAGAATCATCCCAGTGGGTTCCAATTCCAAGCTAAAGAAACGGAATGCTTGCTTGAAGCTTTGGGCGATGGAAGTTTTCGATGGGGTTGCTTGCTTGAGCAAATGTCGGAATCTGGTCTCTTCTTGGGGAAACATAGTCAAGAACCTGTAAATGTCCAAGATTGCATTGTAATGCCTCGCACACAGAGGCTCCACACGGTGAGGTTGTGCAAGGAAGGCAAAAACCAGGAACCGAGAACGCCAGTGGGGGCGTCGGTTCCAAAGGACATTCACTATCTCGCCCTGGATTCTGGCAAGAGCTTTAGCCGGGATTCCATTTATGGCTGCATTATAGGTGCACTGCGGAATAACCTTACAACCAATAATTTTTGCTTTTTGGGGGACCGACAATGGCAAAGCTCCGATATTTTTAATGTCAGCAAGGATCTTGGCACATTTGTCTTCCGAAAAGTGCATAGCACATCGATCACTAGTTCGAATGTATACACCTAAGACCTCGAGTTCCAAGACCAGGGACATGTCAGGAAAGAGAGCTTTTACGCATTTGCGAGCAGCTGAGGTAGTACCCCAGACAGAGCACTTGTTGCTATTCATGGCTTGACCAACTAGGTCGTCCCAAGCTTTTGTGATTTGGATTGCCTTAAACAAATCCTGGCTGTGAATGAGTCTTGTCCAAAGGTAGGCATCGTCAATAAAGGCTCTGGCTGCAACCGTGGGCAAAACATCAAGCATATGGATCCAGGCTTTCATGTGTACATTTACCGCGATCAAAGAGAGGGAGCATCCCTGGGCTACTCCATTTGTACTATGCGTTGCAGCAGGGGCAAACCATGATTTGTACTGTAAGTGGCGTTCCAACTGCGAGTAGAGCTTGAGGAAGACACTGACAATACCCTTAGGGACACCAAAGGTGAGCATTAGGGCTCCAGCATACTGCGGTATGATCCGGTCAAAGCACTTTGCTTTGTCAATTTTTATGCCAATTAGTGGTTCCGAATCACTTTTGGCTTGATCGACGGACAAAGCGAAGTGTGTGTGGATCGCTGACATTTGGCGAGCTGGGATTCCTCCCTGCAGTTGGAAAGGCATTACAACTGACTGCCAATCTCTCAGGTGCCGAAACCGTGCTCCTGTATACGCGAGCAAAATGACAGGGAGCAAAGTAATTAGCCGCTTTTGCAAAGGCTCTGAACTTCCATTCTTGTTAAGTATGACCTGCTTTGCAGTCGCAAGTGCTTGTGGGAGGTGGGTGGAATCCTCCTCAACCTCTCGAAAGAGCAGTGCGAACGCTTCAAAACATTGGAGGGGTAGCATTTGCATTTCTAGAGTACGCCAGCCATCAAGGCCAGGGGCAGCATCAGCTCTTCGACTTTTGACGGTTAGAAACAGGTCATGGGCAGACAAGTCAGGGACCGAACAGGACTGAGCAAAATTGTGCACTTGAGGCCATACAAGTTCAAGCATCTTAAGAGGGTGTGGGAAACCCTCATTAGCGCTGTAAACAGTATCCCATTGTTGGTTGATTTCAGCAATTGCCTCCCTTGGTGCAAAAACAATATTTTTCTGCTGGTCGATGATGAGGTTTGCCGGTTCTTCGGCATTCTTATTTTTGAGGTGCCGAAACAGGTAGGCAGAACCAACCTTAGCCGAGTCATTAATCTTATTCTTCCAAGCTTGAATGCGTCGAAGTTTGCATTTCAGCTCAAGAACAGCCTGGGTGTCCTGGACCCACTGAATGGCTCTGGCTACTTCAACCAGTGTGGGATTGCGTTCATACGGCCACAAGCATGGAGCCTGTAGCCAGAAGAGTCGTGACCAAGTTTTGACAATCGTGCGGTGGCATATGACCTTGCGCGGACCAGGTTGAATGACCTGTGTGTGAAAGGCTTGGATCTCGAAAAGGCCTCCTAAAGCATTGGCTAGCCAGGAGCCACGCTTGGTAGTGGCTGCGCCTGAGTGGTTTTGGCCCGGGCAAATTTGCTTAGGCCGAGTACGAACTGCCTTGCCACGCTCTTGTGGTCCTATTCCCCATGAAGCTCCTTGATCGAGCAGGGTGTCAATGCACAAAGAATTGGCAAAATGCCACTTGTTCTCAATATGCTCATGATGAGGGTAAGCCGGTGCATCAAAAGCGTGACTTTTGAACCCAGGGGGGAAGACAAAAGGTGCAGGTTTGTACAACTTGAAACCTTGTTGCCAAATAATTTTCCAGTTGAAGGTGGCTTTGATCGGTCTGTGTTGAACACGAAAGAACGGCAGCACCTCCACTGAAGCCAGAGCGGCCGTGGCAACCGAGTTGGTTAAGATGCCATCAATGCTGCTGCACCCGTCACCATATCCTGTAAAGTTACCATCCATCGAAAAGGTAAGTGGCCTAGAGGTGTCCTCACCCGTAGCAACTTGCAAAACATCACACCAGTGCAAATAGTTGGTGGCGTGTGCAACAACTGGGTATTGCAGGGGCGGAAGTTGAAAATCACCCGCGATGATGATGGGAATATCCCCCCACTGACTGGCAACCGAAAGAATGTCACTTAACAGAGAATTGTTGAAGTCCAGGATGTGCTTGTCGGCCGAGGCAGCGGTTTTACAGTAAACTGAGAACACCAAGGCCCGCAGGTGTCTAGTGAGTTGGATCCAACACGCTTGCACTCGTTTTGTAGCCCGGAGCTTCACATATAGACCCGTGGCATCCTCGCCTGGGAGGAGTTCTGTTGCAAGCTCTTTTGCTGCAAGGATGGCAACACCTCGTGCGAGTAACGCCATGCGATGATAGCAAGCCTGGTAGTAACTCTCCATGGAAAAGGTGGGAGCTTTCTTGTTGGACCAATTTGGACGCATGAATGACACCGTTTTTTCCAACCCGGGTTTCTTGCACACAAGTGACATTGGCATGACAATTCTTCCAAGAGGTGGAAGTTTTGAGGGAGCCAAC